GTCAAGCAGTGAATTAATATAACTAGTCCTTCTTTGAGGATTCAGGATTGAGAAGGTTCTTTGACTTGCACCCGGCAAAGCCACCCCAGTGCCGAGGCAGGCAGACCTCGGGTCCCTCCGACACCTGCCAACGCTGGGAGAGTTCCCTCACCTCTCTGGGCCTCATCTGTAAAATGGGGGGATAAGAGTAATAACACCTCCCTCCTAGGGCTGTGGTGACGATGATCATGCAGGTACAGCATGAAAAACACACCTGGTGCATGGTTAGGGCTTAGGATATCTTAGCCATCATTATCAGTGTGCCTGGTACCATCTGCGTGCAGACCTTGATCTGGCAGGCACAGCTTCCCAGAAGGCCACAGTAGTACTGATAACAACCACAAAAACAACAACTATCATTTATTGAGGGCCTATTATTCGGGTTGCTCAGCATTTTTCAGCACTTTCAAAAGCCTGATGGAAATCATCCTTTTAGTCCCCATGGGAAATACTAGCTGATAAAAATGTCAGTCTCTCTGCTTTGGGCTATCTTTGTACCCACTCAAAGTGGGCTCATTACCTTGGGCCGGTCAGAAGCTGTGAGTGGTACATTTGTGTGTTTGGTTAAGGAAAAAAAGGATTATTCTGTAATAAATAAAGTCTGGTAGGAAAAAACCCAAAACATCTTGTACATGGGACGAAAATGATAAAGGGACCCCTGCTAGTGAACAAGCCTGGGACCCAAAGCTTAAATAGAGCAGTCCCAGGAAGCGTGCCTCAAGGATTATTCTGTAATAAATAAAGTCTGGTAGGAAAAAACCCAAAACATCTTGTACATGGGAAGAAAATGATAAAGGGACCCCTGCTAGTGAACAAGCCTGGGACCCAAAGCTTAAATAGAGCAGTCCCAGGAAGCGTGCCTCATACACACTCGGGGAATAGCTGTCTGGGAATTTTAACTCTTGCCCATCAGCTAGTTAACCTGTCACTCCCCGTCTTACGCAGAAAGCACAGGTGGGTGCGAGTTCATGGCAAGGCAGCCTGGCTGTCTTCCCAGAACGTTAGTTCTCCCTAAGAAGAAGCAACCTTTCTGTGAGTTGTTACTTCCCCTTTCCTGAGACACACCCCCATGCTGTGTGGCTCTCGGGGAGAGAGTCAGAAGATGGCTCTGTGGGTCTGTAGGGGTCAGGCCACACACTTCTTCCAACTCCTCTCCAGTGCCATTCGGTGACCCTCCTCTACCTGCTGGTGGAGCAGGTGCAAGGAACACCTCTCACCTCCTCATAATTTGGGGCATTTTTCCAAGGCCTTCTTCCAGAGTCTTCCAGTTCTTCCTCATCAGGTGACAACATTCTGCAGACCAATAAGCTGGCTACACATTCCTCCAGGTGCTTACTGTGCCACCATTAACTGAATTCCATCAAAGCAATGTTCTAAAGGGCACTGTTGATGTGAGACCACCAGTGACAAGTCCTCTGTACTCACTCACCGACTCATTCACTCCTTCATTCATTCAACAAGTATTTAGTGAGCACATGCTGTGTGCTGAAGTGACGATGGAACAGTTTTTTTTCAAGTAGTTTGTATCCTGATCACCAGAGCTCGAATCAGTGAACCAACAGGTGCCAGCAGAAAGATTCATTTCTGCAAATATTTACTGAGGACCTACTACGTGCACAGAGCTGGGGTGGACACTCAGGGTGCAAGCGTTAGTAAGACAAAGTCACGGCCTAGAAGGAGGAATATTTCTGCCTACAGCTGATCATAATACCCTGTGATAAGTGCTGCAAGAGATATAAGAACATGACACTGTAGGCCTGGAAGAAATGAGTTAATTCAGCCAGAGAAGGTATCCCAGATGAGGGGCCATTTGAGCTGGGTTTTGAAGACTGAGTAAGAGTTCATCAGGTTCAAAAAGAGAAAAAAGGCATCCCAAGTGTAGGGAGATGCACGAACAAGAGTAGTAAGTGTGACGTTAGGAAGGGCAATTTGTGAAAGGCCTTGGATGCTGGGCTAAAAACTTAGGGGCCAGTTGCAGGGATGGGGCAGGGGTGATAATGTGATCAGATTAGTATCGCAGAAGAAGACTCACTCAGGCGCCTCTGGGAAGGATGGAGTTGAAGAAAGAGACTCAAGGCAGGAAGGTAGGAAAACGTTCTCATGATGTCCTTCCTTAGTGTGTGCTCTAAAGTCCTAAAGCTGTCCATAAAAACGGGCCAAACCAAACAGAAAGAATACCCCTGCCAATCCCTGGATAAAGAAGCACCTTGTAAGAAAAAAGAAAAAACATGGAGTTTGGAAGTCCTAGATCAGAAGCGGCAAAATGGGTCAAAATCGGCCCTTGGGGTTGTTTTATTTGGACTGAGCAAAAATATTTTTCAATTTGAATTAGGAGCCAGAAATATGACCCTCTGGGATACAGTATTTCAAGTGGAGGGAAGAGTAGTGCAAAGGCCCTGAGGCAGGAACAAGCTTGGCATGTCTGAAAGACAGCAAGGAAGCCACAGTGGCTGGAGTCCAGTGCGAGAGGGACCAGATGCAGTCAGAGGCGGCAGACAGGGGGCAGATCACACAGGGCATCGAATGCCACGCGAGTTCAGGTTTTATTCTAAATGGGATGGGAGGAAGTTGAGGGGTTAGCAGTGGGGGTGATCTGACTTACGTTTTCCAGTCTCACTCTGGCTGCCCAGAAGAGGCTGCAGAGAGGCCAGGGGGGACGCAAGGAGGAGTTCAGAGGCTAAGTCCAGGTGATAGAGACTTGCATGGTGGCCCATAGGCCTTGCTGGTGGATTGGCTGTCAGCAGCCCAGCCCTCGGCCAGATGGCAGGCCAGGGGGAGGGGAGTGTGTGGAAGCCGCCCTGGACAATCTCCCTCTGTCCCATTTCATCAGAGGGACAGGCAGCTGCATGGGGTGGGGACCTAGGCAGAGGCCAAAAGGCCAGGTCCATTCTCAGGGTTACCATCGTCCCAGGCCAGAGCTGGGCCATGGTGCGAGTTGGGGCACCATGAAGGACCCAGGGAAGCCAG